GGGGCTCAAACTCAGGACGCAGTGGTTGGTGATAGCTTGATAGTGCTGAGACTTTAATCCCTGTGTCACCAGGGAGGCCCCCTGTCCTACCTCCTTTAAAAAGAAAACAGAAACTAGCACCTTGGACCCTTCAGAACTTCTGACCCTACACCCTCTGATTTTTTTTGCAGTGCCACCTCTTTTGTCTTCATTTTCCCCTATTATAATAAAGTGGTAGCTCTCTCCATTTCTATCTAAAGCTAATCCATCTGCTGCTATATGCTATTCTGTTCTCGTTATCCTCTTAGAACTTTTCCCTCTTCCTCATCCTTGTTCTCTCTCATCAGCATTTAAAACACATTCATGTTTTTCCCTCTTAAATTAAAATACCTTTTCATACACCTCTCTTACCCTCTTCAGAGCCAAGCTTCTTGGGACTCTTCTCATCTTTGTCTTCTCTCCTCTGGTGAACTCATCACCTTACTTAAATAGCTTCCTTCCCTGAAAGCGCTCTTAACCAGTGACCACCTTGTCAGATCTGTTACTTTATCCTTCTTCTAGTTGACCTTGCCATCACATTTGACATTCTCTTGACTGCTGTTTCCCATTCCCTCTGGCCAGTTCTTTTGCAAGCTCTTCCAAAATGTTGACTTTTCTCAGATTTCTGTACCCTGCCCTCTCACACCACCAACTCCATGAACAAAATCAGACTTGGAATTGCCTTCCCGCAACTGACTCCAGATCTCTGTTGCAGACCCACTTGTCCTTCTAGCTGTGTGTGAAATTCTCCACTGTAATGTTACCAGATGCCTCATTTCAACATGTTCCATACCAAGCTAGTTTCTCTTAAAATGTTTTTTTCTCCTACACGTCCCATGCTCTGGGAAAGGCAAACCCATCCACGCAGTCACCCAACCATACTCTGGATGTCATCCTTGCCTCTTCCCCCTCACCTTTCCAGTCCAGTCAGTTTACTCTTATCCTGTCTCCTCACTGCTCTGGTGCGTGTCCTCTTCTCCTTGTCCAGACTGTTGCTTTAGATTCATTTAGTAACATTTTCCAGATGACGTAGTAACATTTAATCTAGATGATAGTTAAGGGGACTTTCTCACAGACTTCCCAGTAAGACTCACCATCCGGACTCTGGTGGATGTTCAGTGAGACATGGCTGTCCTTTTTCAATTTGAAAGTCACTTTGGAGGGGCCTCCCTGGTGGCGCAGTGGGTGAGCGCTGGGTTGCGAAGCTGCCCGTAGCCTCTGCAGCGCCAGTTCGATTCCGGCCACTGGGTGAGGGTCCCACATGGCGCGCAGACCTCTCCTGCCGCCCGCTGCTCCCCTCAGCAGTGTATTTCGTCAGTCTACCTGTTCTGCTCCCTGCTGTGGCTCTGGTGAATTCTCTCACCCTCCTGCGCTTCTGACTGTACCCAGTGCTTGAATCAATCAATCAATCTTAAAAAAAAAAAAAAAAGTCACTTTGGAAAGTAAGCAGAACAAAGTAGGCTGACATTTTAGGAGAATTAAGTCTCTTGATCTTTCTCTGTGGTACTTCCTCTAATCAACATCTCCTGTATTGTGACTTCTGTGTAATAGACTCTTGCCTTTAGAGGTGCTGTAATGTAGCTGGTTTTTGAAGAGTTGAGTATGAGCAGTTTTTAGTGTGTGAGAATAGTCCATGAGATTTTAATTTGACATTTTCTTTTTCCCTCCTCTAACTATAAGGTATATGTGTTAGTTGTAGAAACCTTGAAATTTGGAAGAATTTAAATTTTAGAACAGTTATCTGTAATCCCACTTCTTGCTTAGTGGCAGCCATTACCAACATTTGCATATCTTTCCTTCCCATTGCTTTTTGTGCCATATATGTTTATGCAACAAGATTCAGACTGTATTCTTTTTTATTTTTTTTTTTTAAAGATTTATTTATTTATACAAGAACCGGGGTAGAGTCCAGATGTGTGGGAGGGCAAGAGGATTCACCAGAGACAGAGCGGGGAACAGAACAGGCAGACTGATGGAATACACTGCTGAGGGGAGCAGCAGGAGCGACAAGAAAGGTCTGCCGTGCCATGTGGGACCCTCGCGGGCTGACCGGGATCAAACCGGCGCTGCAGAGGCTGCGACAGCTTCACAGCATAGCACTCAACTGCCTGTGCCACCAGCGGAGGCCCCAGACTGTATTCTAACACAGCAAGTATAGTCTGTTTTCCCTTAAAGGGTCATAGCTTCACCACTCTCCTGGGTCATACATTATTTTTTGAAAACAGATTTTACATGGTTTCATGTGTGGTCTCAGTATAAATCTTTTTTTTTTTTTTAAAAGATTTATTTATACATACAAGAACTGGGGTACAGCCCTGAGTTTTGGGGGATGAGAGGATTCACCAGAGACAGAGTAGGGAACAGAACAGGCAGATGGACTGAAATACACTGCTGAGGGGAGCAGCGGGTGAGTCAGGAGAGATCTGCCACGCCATGTGGGTTGCTCCCTGGCTGGGGATCAAACCTGTGCTGCAGTGGCTGTGATGAGCTTCATAGGTTGCGTCTTAACCCCTTGCGCTACCAGGGAGGCCCCATTTTTGAAGATTTATCAGTATAAATCTTTAAACATTCTTCTCTTTTTAGGTCCTGAGAATGGTTATACTTTTTCCTTTTTTTTTTTGGTTTTGTTTTTACTATCAGGAGTAGTTCTGTGTTGACCATCCTACCTAGTTAAAGGAATTTTTTGTTCATACAAGCAAAGAAAAAAAAATTCAAGTCAAGAATTTCCAACACAAAGCAGATTTGCAACAGAAAAAAATGGTGATTTCTGACTGCTAGGCTTAATCTGCTTTTGTCTAAAAACTAGTGTGTTCAGCTTCTGTGTTACTATTTATCAGCTTTCTCACTGTGAACATGTATTAGAAATAGGGAGAAATTCTCTTTCGTGTTTTCTCTTAGGTGGTTCGAGGACACTACAAAGGTCAGCAGATTGGCAAGGTAGTCCAGGTGTACAGAAAGAAATATGTCATCTACATCGAGCGGGTGCAGCGTGAGAAGGCTAATGGCACAACTGTCCATGTGGGCATTCATCCGAGCAAGGTATGGCCCGGGCTGACCTGTGGTAGCAGCTGTGTAGCATAGTGCCACCGCCAGAGTTACTGACATACTGGTACTGTCAACACAGTGGCCCTGGTGAAGATTTACAGAGGGAAGTCAGGCAGGCTGGATTGATTCATTGGCTTAGTGATACTATTAAGGATCCAGGTTCTTTTCTTACCTGATTTGTCATCCTTGGTGAAAGCTCTGTCTTTACACCTATAGCAAGAGGATTCTAGATTTCTCTTCCCACTAGATAATGTCCAGAGGGAGAAGAAGGGAGACCATTTCTTCTGTGGTCCTCACTCCCTACTAGTGGAATTTGCTGGTCCTCCTATGTGGTCTTCCTGTATTATACATTGTATCATAGGGTCTGTCCTCAAGGGCAGAATGGTTGATGTCTTATCTTTGTAATCTCTGTATTTCACAGTAGGTAGTGGGAATGCAGATGTTTTTATACAATGCATTTTGCCAGCCAAAGGAAGATAGAAAAACCAGAAATATCTGTGCCGAGTGATAATTTCATCACTAATATCACCTCAAACTACCTAATGGTCTCCTAGAACCCAGGGTGGGTGGCAGAACGAACCCAAGCTACAGTGGGTGATTAAGGGAAACTATTGTACACGATAATTGTGGTTTATGTCCTTTCCATTAAAAAAAAAAATGGGGCCTCCCCTGGTGGCGCAGCGGTTGAGCGCTGGGCTGCGAAGCTGCCCGCAGCCTCTGCAGCACCTGTTCGATCCCCAGCCACTGGCGAGGGTCCCACATGGCGCAACAGAGCTCTCCTGCCACACCTGCTGCTCCCCTCAGCAGTGTGTTTTGTCGGTCTGCCTATTCTGTTCTCCGCTCTGGCTCTGGTGAATTCTCTCACCCTCCCATGCTTCTGACTGTACCCAGTGCTTGTATAAATAAATAAATAAATAAATCTTTTTAAAAAAAATAAAATAAAAAATAAAATGTTTTCTCGTAACAGGTGGTTATCACCAGGCTAAAACTGGACAAAGATCGGAAAAAAATTCTTGAACGCAAAGCCAAATCACGACAAGTTGGAAAAGAGAAAGGCAAATACAAGGAAGAACTTATTGAGAAGATGCAGGAATGAGTATGACGTATTATGCAACCCACAATTTCACTGTGAATTTTTAGCATAGTATGTATCCTTTGAAACATTTTTAGATGTCTCTGGAATGTTTCATTTCCTTTTTGTTTTTGTATTAATATGTGGCTCTGGAAGTTTACTTTTGTTGTTTTAATAACTTTATGAATAAAAATTGGAATTGTTTCCTAATTCCAAATGGAATTTGCATTGATTTATAGATAAAGTCCATCTTGTCAGTCTGTTACTAGTTTCATGTGTTTAATCTGCAGAGCAGCACAACAGTAGTGGCAGGGTTAGGACAGCCTGCTGCTTGAATCGTCATGCTGCTGGGGTACAAAGCACCATCCCTGGTCCCTGATGTAGGGGTTGTCCCAGTCAGCGGTGGTCATGATGTGAACTGTGACATGCAGTGTCCTACTGAGCAGGTGCTGTTCCGTGCCCTTGTCTCTCAGGCCTGACAGATTGTCTCCAGCCAATGTCCTCCCTCATGTGCCCACCAAACCCCATGCATGCTGCCCTACCCACAGTCTTGACTTTGTGGGTACCATTTGCATGTCCTAGAGCAAACTCAGAAAACTGACAGCCTAGAGGCAAAGTTAAGCTCATAGACAGTTTTTATTTGCCTTCTTATTGTTTTCATTAGACTACAGACCTAACTTCACCAGGTACTTGTCATATATATTTATTTTTTCAAATAAACTCACTTGAATTTTTTTTTTTAAGATTTATTTATTTATGCATACAAGAGCTGGGGCACAGGCCAGAGAAGCGTGGGTGAGAGGATTCACCCGAGACAGTCGGGAGCAGAACAGGCAGACGGACTGAAACACACTGCTGAGGGGAGCAGCGGGCAACACAGGAGAGGTCTGCCCCACCATGTGGGTTTTTCCCTGGCTGGCTAGGGATCAAACTTGTGCTGCAGAGGCTGTGGATTGCTTCATAGTGCAGTGCTTAACCCCTTGCGCCACCAGGGAGGCCCAGTACTTGTCATCTTATAGCTACAGAGCCACATCTAAACTGCCTTGTCCCTGTGGTAATCTATTCATGAAAATGCATCAAACTGAGCCCTTTTTGGCTCTCTAGTTATATACGGCTTATCTGGTACTTAGGAATATTTTAATAAATGTTATTTGAACCAGAATTATTTCCGTTTCACATTTTGACTAATTAAAGAAAGTGAGCTTACTTTAATTGTCTAAATCCCAGAGAGTCTGAAAGAGTCAAGATTTGAACCCAGGCCTGACTACATAAAAGTCACTTCCCACTTCAGTCAGCTGTCTCTGGTGGTTTTTTCTTCTCAGCCCTTTATTGGTGTCTGTTCAGAGACTGGACCTGTGTATAGAAGAGAGAAGAGCTTGAGTTGGCATTAGTGCTGCTGAGTGAGGAAGTCATAGTCATAAACCATCAAGGTCAATCTCTAGTTCTGCCACTGGACAGTCATGAGCCTTTGAGTTACTCATCTCAGAGTTTCTGTTTTCTCACTGGTAAAACATAATACCCGCCCTGCCTTCCTGTCTCTCGGAAAATACAGATACAAGATACCAAGATCAAATGAGATATTTCTGAGCACACTTCACATGCTGTGAGTATAAAAACACACTGCTTTTACAGGTTAGTTTACTTGTATTCCTAATTCTGACATTGACTGGACATGCAGGTAATGATTTCACAAGTTAGTGACATAAAGCACAGAATGGTATGCATTCTAACTTTGATTTAAAAGTAGGCAGAATAATAATGTCCTGGAGCCAGATACACCTGGATTCAAATGCTTCCCTGGTCCTTGTGTGGTCATTTTTATGAACCTCTGATTTTCTGTGTAAGAAGCTAGACATGGGCCTCCCGTGGTGGTGCAGCGGTTGAGCACTGGGCTGCAAAGCTGCCCGCAGCCTCTGCAGTGCCGGTTCGATCCCCGGCCACCAGCAAGAGTCCCACATGGTGCTCAGACCTCTCCTGCCATGCCCGCTGCTCCCCTCAGCAGTGTATTTCATCAGCCTGCCTGTTCTGTTCCCCACTCTAGCCCTGGTGAATTCTCTCACCCTCCCACACGTCTGCCTGTACCCAGTAATTGTATAAATAAATAAATCTTTAAAAAAAAAAGAAGAAGCTAGACATGCATATCTTCAAAGTTGTGAAAATTAAAGTAGTGCCCCACCAGGCTCACCTGACTTTAGGAGTCACATGGGCACTTCTAATAGTCTCTCCTTGCTTACCTGGAGATCCTGTGATTAGGTCCAAAGAGAGACCTTTTCAAGTCTTGTGTTTAAATATAGGTCTCACACGAACTTTATGTAATATTTACAACCAGATAAGTTTGTTAAATTGTGGAATATATATCAAATATGTAAAAAGAAATTGGCACATAAAACAGTAGGTGCCCAACGCATAACAGCATGGTATCGACTTCCTGAGCTCTGTCTGATAGTGTGATAAATCAGCCAGTAAGGTAGTTTGTTTTTGAGTTTTGTTTTCATTCTCAATCAACACTTTTGAAATCCCTAAGTGTATAAAAGTCAGATTTCTTACTATACGTAATAAATAGCAAGGACAGCGTACTCCAATGTCTGGTCTAGTTTCTAGGCTTTAGCCATTACCCTTATCAGTAAACTGATAAGAAGTCACATTTTCAGCAATCTGTGCCATACAAGTGATAGGTAAAGGCTTTGAGAGCTATACTCCACAAAAGCATCCGAATCATAGCAGACTACTTATGCTGAGTCATGTGAATCACAGGGCATGATCCAAGAGCAAGAGCTCAGGGTCAAACCTCCCAGAGCTTTACTCCTAGCTCTGTCAACAGCTAGCTCTGTGACCTTGCACAAATTGCCTAACCTCTCTGGGCCTCAATGAAAAGAGGACGTATCATAGAGTTGTGAGACTTACTATATGAGATGCTTTGTGTTTGAGCACAGCATGCTCAGCAAATTTCAGCTATTATCTTTTAGAGGAGATTGGCAGTAAGGTTGTTTACAGGAGCAGAGGGAAAGTTTCTCAAAGGTTTAGACAAATGGTGAGTCTTGAATGAAGGGAAGGATTTAAGGGCAGCAGTATTGTGTTTTGGCTGCTATAGGAAACAGGAACTGGGAAATGCTGGATGTATGGGCCTATCCACCAAGGCTCAGGCCCCACTGGTTTCAGCATATTTCCTGGAATGACTTTGAATTTAACAGTTTCCCACTGACCTTTCCTCAGATGTGCAGATGTCCATTCACTTTAGTGAGTCCCCTCGTGCTATTTTGGGACATTCAAACTTTTAGACTTCAGAGAACTGCTTCTTAATGTCTTTCCATATCATTCTTGGATATGAATGTGCAGCTCCAGAACTTTCAATGTGAAGTGGATAGGCAAGTAATTGAATCATCTAAGAACCAAACAGAACTCAATTAGCCACAAGCCCAGTGTACTTCACTGATGCTACACATACTGAGCAGTTCCCATCTGGTGGTACTTGGGTCTTTGTTCACTGGTCTTTAACTTTTTAAAAAGATAAGCAACAGGGCCTCCCTGGTGGCACAGGAGTTAAAGACAGCACTATCAAGCTTTCACCAGCACTACAGCATGAGTTTCATCCCCAGCTGGCCAGGGAGCAACCCACATGATGCTGCAGACCTCTCCTGTCTCTCCCAATGCTCCCCTCAGCAGTGTATTTCAGTACATCTGCCTGTTCTGCTCCCCACTCTCTCTGGTGAATCCTCACCTCCCACACCTCTGGCTTACACCCCAGTTCTTGTATGCATAAATAAATAACTTAAAAAAAAGATAAGCAACACTTAACACTTACATATGGAACAAAATTAAAAGTCCCAAAAGGTATACAATGAAAAGTAAATTTCTTTGTCATTTTGATTCTTACTCATTCTCCCCAGAAATAGACACTATTCCCAATTTTTTTTTTTTTGGTATCCTTCCAGAATTGTTCTAATAAATGATTGGGTGTTTATTGATTTATGAAGAAGCCTTTTTTTTAATTAATTAATTTATTTATAAAGGCACTGGGTAGGGCCTCCCCTGGTGGCACAGCGGTTGAGCGCTGGGCTGCGAGGCTGCCCGCAGTCTCTGTAGTGCCGAGGTCAGCGCGCCATGTCGGACCCTCTCTGGGGCCGAGCCGGCGCTGCAGAGGCTGCGGGCAGCTTCGTAGTCCGACGCTCAACCGCTGAGCCACGGGGGAGGCCCCTCATGAAGAAGTCTTAATGAGAAAGGCAATTCATCCACAAACAGCTATAGAAGGTGGATTATTGCCTGAACACTACAGTTACATGTAAGCCTGCACAAAATAAAGCGTTCGTTTGCCATCAGAAAAAACTAAACCAACCACATCCTAACCACTCCCTTGAAGGAGGACAGTTCTAGAAGAAGTCTTCAAAAGCTCGTCTTATTCTTTAGATATCCCTCCATCTTTTAAACTTGGGTTTTTTTGTTGACTTACTATTTGAAACAGAAGAGGCAGCATGACATAGTGGGAAGAACAGGAGCAGTGAAGACCTGCATTCAGATCCCACTTCTGTCACCTAACACAGCTAGACTTTGGGCAAGTGACAAGTCTGAGCTTTTCTTTTCCTAATATGTAAAATTAATATCTGTAGGAGATGTTGTGAGCACTGACTAATTCAAAGCACCTAGCTCAACAACTGGCATGAGGCAGTCACTCAAGAAATGCTAAATGCTGTGATCAGTGGTGTCTGGCTGCAGTGCCTGTCCCATACATACGTGCTAACCAATGAGCAGTGAATCAGGCTGGAGCTTTCAGTTCTCCAGTAACTTCCAGATCAGCTTGAAAAGGATTACAGTGAGCTGCACCCACCTCTCCCCAAAACTGCTGCTTCCCTTTCCAAGTTTCAGTTACTCTCAGCCAATTGTGGTCTGAAAAACCTATGTACAATAACTTGTTTTGAGAGATCATGTTCTCATAACTGTTAGTATAGTCTGTTGTTAGAATTCTTCTATATTGTTATTGGTTGTTAATCTATTATTGTGCCTAATTTATAAATTCAAGTTTATGATAGGTATGTATGTATAGGAAAAAAATAGTATAGCTTCAGTACTGTCCATGGTGTCAGGCATCCATGGGGGGTCTTGGAGTGTATCCCTGGCAGATGAAGGGGCACTGCTGTAGAGATGCCAAGACTTTCTGATTCTGCATGCCTGCTTTTATTCATAGAGCAAGGCTTAGGAAAGAGGGGCTCCTTAGGGGTTGCACTGTTGTGTTTCCATCAGCTCTTGTTTTCTTTATCCTATTGGGGTTACCTCTGAGGTTTTTCCTCTAGGAATGGTTTGCAAACTTTTGGTTTTAAGGACCAAAAGACCTTACATTTATGTGGGATATATCTAGTAATATCATCTACCATATTAGAAATTAGAACAGAACATTTTAATATATTTATTTTAAATTCATCTAAAAATGGCAATAATAAACACAAAACATGTTAACAGAAATAACGTTTTAATGGAGAGTATCCAAAAGAATGTACCAAGAAGACCTTCACTGTGTTTGTTACATGTTTGCAAAATTCCTTAATGTCTAGCTTAATAGAAAACAAAGAGATTCTTATAAAGATGCTGCATTCCATCAGTTGCAATATTGTTTGAGGTGAAGCATAGGAAGAAAATCCAGCCTCAGACAAATTGGTGGTTAGAAAAGAGAGCCTTTGTACAAGGGCTTGTATAAATGAGTGGCTATTTATTGATCCTTGAAGAAGTCCTAAAATCAGCTCGTCCACATTTAAACAGCTATAGGAGGCAGACCTGCTGGAAGAGTCTCAGGGACTCCCCAGGGGTCTTTGCATCACACTTCCCAGAGTCTGATTTTGTCCTGACAATTGTCCTGAGGGTGGAGAGTATTTATTTTAGACCAGTTTCCAGTCTTCCCCAGTTTTCTTTTGAAACTTGTGATAAAACGTTTTTGACAGATTGACTGATAGAGGGAGCTATTTACCAATACTAGCCCATAAGTGTAATACTGGGATTCAGGACTTTTCTCATTTCACAGAGAATGAAATGGACAGATTTAGACCTGGTTTCTGAATAGTCACATCCCTGTGTTCTGTGATATCTACTTCCCAAGAAGGCTGTCAAGAAGGTTAGACAAAGGCTAGACAGAATGGATTTAAATTAAGATATTTGCATTTATTTAAAGAATGGGAAAAATTCATAATAGTGGAAGTGACCCAAATATCCATCCATAGATGAATAGAGAAACGTCATGTGGAATATACATACAATGGAATATTATTCAGTCCTAGAAAGGAAGGAAATTCTGACATATGCTATAATATGGGTGAACCTTGAGGACATTATGCTAAGTAAAATAAGCCAATACCCAAAAAGACAAATACTGTACCATTCCACTTACATAAGGTATTTAGAATAGCCAAACTTTGAGAAACAGAGCCTGTTCTCAAGGAGTTTTCCCATTGGTAGAGTGTTGGTTAGGACACACCTGCAATTATAAGGTCACAGAGGGGCACTAAGACAATGAAATAGATCTGAGAGAATACTTGAACTGGAACTGAAGGACAATTCAATCTCTGATAAGACTGAGTTTTGGGGAGGAGTAGTAGGTGCATTAGAACAACTTGTTTCCTACATTGCCGGTCAGGTAAAGTCTTGAGATCATGTTTGAAGAATTAGTACAGGTATTAAATATCATTGGTCTGACTTCCCATTTAACCCAAGAATCTGCTCCACTGGATGAAGAAAGAATCAGGAAGTAACTCACAGTAAGGAAATATGGATATTGCAAGGAAATTGCTCCATGGTAAGGCACATTGTATTGTGTTGATAGACTCACTGTCCATCTTGCTTTTGCCTATGCGCTTTATCAAGTTCCTTCTCTGTGAATAGGATTCCTCCACCGTTCCAAGGCTGTCTCAACTGTGATTAACATATGTGAAAACCTCAGCAATTAGAAACTGCACATTTATCTTCTTATTATTCTACTCTTCTTTTGAGGCACAACTCAGGACTGGCTGGAGTGGAAAGTGGTGCATGATTGTCCATGTTACCTTTGAGCTATCTGCTGCAAGTCTGTCTCCTCATCCCCCTGTGAACTTCCAGAGAGGGGATCTGATTGATTTCTGTAGCCCCAGACAGACACTGGCCTAAATAACAAGTTATACAGTAGTGCAGTAGTTAAGAGCACTGGCTTTGAAAATCACACCATACGGGCTCTGCTACTTACTAGCTATGAAATTTTGGGCAAAATACTTAAGACACACACACACACACACACACACACACACCCCTCCTCCCTCGCCTGTTTCTTCAAATGCAAAGTGGAGATAATAATTATAAACACCTCGTGGTGTTCAAATCTAGTGAAGTGTTCAAATTGATTCAGGTAGTGCCTCTGGCACACAGGATTTCAAACCAGCAACTTAATATTAAGTTCAAATAAAGGTGTATATACCCACGCTCTGTTCTTCAAAGGGCAATGTCCTTATGAGAGAACTGCTGAGTCCCTGGTGGCATAACCTTATCAATGGGGTGAGGTACATCCTCAAGCCTCAGCCCCGACACCGGCCAGGTGAGGCGGGGCTTAGTTTCCCGGACGCCCGGAGGGGCGGAGTCCGGCGCCTGGGTCACGTGGGGCGTGGGAGGCGGGGCTTAGCGCGCGCTGGTCACGCGGCCGGTGTTGACACTTCCGGGTGGGACGAAGTGGGGCGGCAGGTCAGGGGCCGGCAGCTCCGGAGGCAACCATGGCGTACAGCGGCATCGCGGTACCTGTCATCGTGATGACCGTGTTCTGGGGCTTCGTGGGCTTGTTGGTGCCCTGGTTCATCCCAAAGGGCCCCAACCGGGGGTAAGTGCTCGAGGCCCGCCTCGGGAGGGACTCGCAGTGCGGACTAGCCGGCCTGGCGGGGGAGGGGGCGACGTGAGCGGCTCAGAGACTTCAGAGTCAGGCCGCGACCCGGTGGAGCCCCCGAATCCTTATGGCTGCAGCTTCTGTGTCCCCTGGCCCGATCGTGGTTGCCGACAGCCCTTCCTTGGGAAGGGGTTTCAGGGCAATTTTTCTCATCACGGCCCTGTGTGGGGAGAGTGCAGTCGGAAATGGGTCTTTATACAGACTCCAGAAGAAGTTGGGGTTGGTTCCAAGACGACTTTCGCCCCTTTAGCCCTGTTCTCCACCCTCATGAGGCCTCGTTTGCCCATACTTTAAAGGAAAGGATAAAAGGAAAAAAACCAATTGCCCACTGTGTCTCGCATACTGTCGCAGTTAAACAGGACCAGCTTGTGCAACTACGTTGAGCCCGGGCCTTACTTCTAGTGGACGCCGGGAGCTACTTGCGGCCTGATCTAAAGCAGGATTAATTACTGAAGAGCAGGAGGTATTGTTTAGAAACCCCTGCGTCATATCTTTTGGGGGGCACTTACGCCCTTGTATGTGAGTAAAAACAAGTTCTTAGAATTCTTTGTTAAATAGAGTTTTATCTGTTTTGTAAATAAACTTGTTTATTGTAGTCTAAAATACAGCCTTATCTGCAAAGGAGAGTTGGAACAACCTTTCTGGTTCCTTTTTTGCTTTTTTAGTCTTTGGCAGCCCAGGATCATGTGGGATGAAACTTAGACTGAAGCCACAATTTGTCAGAAACACCATCTCTTGCTTCATTCTTTGAAACTAATTGGTGGCTTCACAGTGCTTTGCATGCATAGTTGGCACTCAATAAATATCTGTTGTGTGGATAATTCTATTCCCTTTCTTAAAGGAAAGAAAGTGCAATACTAAGTAAATTGACCCTCTTTGGAATAATCTTGTATAGACCTGTTACTTCTCTCAAGCTTAAAAATCAATCATAATTTGTTTTAAGAAGGAGAAATAGTAGTTATATGGGTGCTCTCTCCAATCTGTAATTGATGATGTAGTATCAGAATTTTGGGGTTATTAAAACCACTTGTATTAACGAAATCTAATTTTCTTAGACTTGCTTCTCCTACTGGGGTTACAGAATAACAAAGTACTTCTTTGTGTTGTGTTTCTGTCTTCAACTATTTCATCACCCCTGCTCTGTTTTTCCAACCTTGGGACTCTTACTAGTGTGCAGATACCTTTGACCATTTCTTTCTTAAGGACTGTGGTCTCCACCCCCAGCCCCCACTTGGGGCCCACTGATGCCTCACCTTGGCATTTCATGCCACTGCTACTATCCAGGGTAATGAAACCCTCTCTTGCTAGACTACTCGTTTTCTAGCTCAAGTGTCATGATTCAGGTATTTGACCTGCTGCTGATATATTATCCTGGACTGATTTGCAACCTCCACCCCAATCCTTGCATTTCCTGCTCTTGGCAGGATTAAACAGGTCCTCAGTTACTGTATTACACTTAGAGAACACTGCTCCTAGCTGGAGGATCCCTGTGACCTTGACAGTTGAGTTAACTTTTCCGTGTCCCTATTTCCTCATTGTAAAAGGGAAATATTAGTACTGAATTAGTGCCTGTTCTCTTTGACCTCTTGAAAGGACTGCAAATCAATTTGTTTTGAAATACATGAAGGAACTGAATTGCTTCAAGAACTATGGTGAATTTTTAATACAGGCGAGCATTTCTGATTGAAGGATTAAAAACATTTTCATTAAGGAGCTAGTAAAAGTGCTGTGTGAGAAGGGATGAAGATTGATGTTACACCCTCTTTTTTTGAGATACTCGCACATCAAAATGCATTAAATTGTGTGCTGGTGCAGTTTTCAGAAACTGGTGTAGCAAAAGGGAAAAAACTCTTTGGAATAGTACAGGCACACCTCAGAGATACCACAGATACTGTTCCAGATCACTGCAATAGAGTGAGTAACAGGCATTATTTTGTTTCTGATGCATAGAAAAGTGATTTTTACACTATGCTATACCCTATTAAGTGTGCATTATGTCTAAAAAAACAATGCACAGACCTTAATTAAATATGACACAGACATGAAGTGAGCACATCCTAGTGGAAAAAATAGTGCTGATAGACTTGTCACAAGCCTTCAATCTGTTAAAAAAAAAAAAAATCCATGGAGTGCAATAATGTAAAATGCAGTAAAATAATGTGTGCCTGTATAAGGTAAACTCAGCTTCTTACGCTCATTCTTTTCTGCAACTGAAGAAGGGCCAGATAAAATCAAGTCTATTCCCAGAATCAGCTTTCCTGATTTTTGTGATTCTCCTTTTTCTCTTTAAGGAACCACAGAGTCTCTAAAAGTGGCACCATGGTTCCCTGAGCAGTAGCTGTAGGGGAGGGGAAGGGACAGGAAGTCATGTGGGCATTAAGGTGGTGGAGGTTCACTCACTTCCACTTTTTTCAAACATAGTAGAAAGAGCAATACAGTGAGTGCAATATACCACCACCTATATTTCAATAACTGTTAATATTCACTTTGTCTATGAATATGTGTATGTACTTATGTCCATACAGACATAACGTTGATGAATCATTTGGAAAATTGCATCCACTTGGCACTTCACTCTTAAATACTTCAGCAGCACATCCAGAGGTAATGCTTTACTGAGGGAGTTTTGATCCTTTACTGAGGAGATTATTAAGCAGCTAATACAAAGGAGGCTCCGCTGTTTCAGCTCTCTAGGGTGGTCTTTTGGGGAAGATAAAAGTCGGGGGAGGAATTCCTGGTTGAGACATGGGGAATGATGGAAGATGAGCAAACCTCGGAATGGAGAGTGATAAGGATGAGGTGTTTGGGAGAACAGTGAGGGCACCTGTCTTCAGGATTGTTTGAAAGTAGAGAGAAGTGAGGATGAGTGCGGGGTTGATTTCAAGGGAAAGGTTGGCTTTGATTCTACAGAGCTTCAAACATTTTTCTTGTGCAACTGTCAAGGTTTTTGTTTGTTTGTTGACACAAACCCCCATACATATTTACGTAAGCTAAGCATAATGTATAAATTACATATTTTGAAGATCTCCCCAAAATATGTCCAGAATCTGACCAGTTCTGACTACCTGTGCTGCTACCAGCCTGATCTATGGATATACTGCCATTTCCCCCCACTCTCTGTTTTCCCTACTTCTCTCTTTGTCTCACTTCCCCCAATCTCTTTCCACCCTGCAGTCAGATCTTACTAGAATTTAAATCAGATTTTTTCAGTCCTTCTCAAATCTGTCCATACAGCTTTCACTTCTCACGCAGAGTAAAAAACCTGTGTCTTTTCAGAGATGCCTTTGACCTCACCTGTTCAGCTCCTCTGTTCAGCTCAGCTACAAAGGCCTCCGTCCTCTTTTTTTAAATTTGTCTTCCATCCTCCTCCCTCCCTCTTTGAATGCCAGGTACCCACGGTACACTCTCCCTTCGAGCCTTTGCTTGGCTCTTCCCCTACCTGGAACTCTCACTCCCTCAACTCCTTCAGGTCTGTGTCTCAAATCCTTTGTACTTACTGACCAGCTGCCATACTCACAATAGATTGATGTGAAGGTTCAGTTGTTTGTTTACTGCTCATCTTGTTTGTTGTCTCTCCCCCACTGTCATGTAAACTTCAGAGAGCAGGGTTTTTACATCCATTTTATTCACTGCTCTCCCCCCAGAGCCTGGCGTTTACTGGACACTCAGTGAAAGTCTGTTGTACAATTGAATCAAATAATCTGCCACTATATCAACCACAGAAAATGTGCGTGCGCGTGTGCATATACATAGACTTTCTAAAGGATGAAGTAAATGTAACAGGAGTTCCAGTATTTGCTTTCTGTGTTCTCCAAAATACTCTTGCTTACTCTAGGGGAGTGGAGACACCCTCCACCCCCTTTGGAAAGTAATCCTATGGATCATGGGGAAGTCATTGAAAAGTGTTAAGCCACGGAATGAAATGATGAAAGGACATTTGGTAAGAGTAATCGGGGGTGTTTGTGGACAAAATGAAAGAGAAAGAAGAAAGCTTTGATTCTGGAAGTTAGTTAAACCAAGTAAACTTGATGAATTTTGGTGCAAACTTGGGACTAGAAGGAAAGAAACCCACATGAAACCCACAGAAGACTAATTGGCAGCATTGGTGCCAATGCTAATTGGTGACTGAGGGTCTGGAGGAGGCATGAACAAAAAGGGGTGAACAAAAAGGCATGAACCAAGGAGTGGAAATGGCAGAGCATCTTCTGGGGAGTAGGAGATGGGTAAGGGGAGTCTTTGGAAAGAGAAATGGGAAGATATTCTCATGAATTCAATTTTAGAAATGTTGACATTCAACTAATCAGAGATTCAGGTTCAACTTTTTCAGACAGGAATAGAGATGGGAGAGGTCAGTGCTAGAGTCAGGTTTTTAGAAATATACTGTCAGGGCCTCCCCGGTGATGCAGCGGTTGAACATAGCGCTGTGAAGCTGTCCGCAGCCTCTGCAGCGCTGGTTTGATTCCCGGCTGGCCAGGGAGATTCCCACATGGCGAGGCAGACCTCTCCTGTCTCGCCCGCTGCTCCCTTCAGCAGTGCTTTCAGTCCATCTGCCTGTTCTGCTCCCCACTCTGTCTCTGGTGAATCCTCTCACCCTCCCGCACCTCTGGCTTGTACCCCAGCTCTTCTATAAATAAATAAATCTTTAAAAAAAATAGAAATATGCTGTCATTTTGTTGCAGCAAATACTACCTATTAGGGGAGTTGCTTGGATGTCAAATCTGATTATCTTTGTGGCTTTTTCTGTCTATTTTTCAGGTGGATTGGGATTAGTTATCTAAGCTGTGGCATCAAATATATCCCTTTAAACATAGATGTTAAATAACTTGGACTTTTGTAAAGTGCACTGCTCTCTACTGGGGATTTGAACAGATTCAGGTCCATTTTCCTGGTGCACAGTCCTGATAGCTTGGGAAGTGGGCTTAAACCATACTACAGCGTCTGTGTAGTTGGCTACTTAACTAATGCTGTTTATGTTTTTGTTTTTTTTTCTTAGAGTTATCATCACCATGTTGGTGACCTGTTCAGTTTGCTGCTATCTCTTGTAAGTATGTTTCCTTACTAAGTATGTAAGTAGATTTTTCTTCAGTTACTATGGTTATCAGTAAAGTGTGTAATTGAAAATTAAATCAGTGGAGAATGATTGTTGTGAAACTTTACATCTTGGTTTCATTTGCATTTGCCTCTCGTGTGACATCTAGAAATAGTGTCCAAAGATTGCAAATAGCACACTTCTTTCCTTTTTTATAGTTTCTTTTAAGCAATTTTTTTAAAGATTTATTTATTTATTTACACAAGAACCGGGGTACAGGCTGGATGCGTGGGAGGGTGAGAGGATTCACCAGAAACAGAGCGGAGAACAGAACAGGCAGACTGACGAAATACACTGCTGGAGGGGAGCAGTGAGCGAGACAGGAGAGGTCTATTGCACCATGTGGGACCCTCGCTGGCCAGCCGGAATCAAACTGGCGCCACAGAGGCTGCAGACAGCTTCACAGCATGGTGCTCAACCGCCTGCGCCACCAGGGGAGGCCCAGCACACTTATTTATATCTTCTGTTTATATGCATGAGAGCTGTACAGATGTTTGGCAATACAAGTGCAATTTATATGGTACAAATTTAAAACATACAATTAACCAGATAATTGTCATAGTACTACTTAATATTTTACTTTTTTTTTTTTTAAGAAAATAATTAGGGCACAGGAGAGAAAATTAGAGCCTTAAGAATTGGAAAAGGAAAGAATTAGAAAAAAAATTCTACATGTAGATGATATACTATAACAACATATTTGGAAGCCCAGGAGAATCATCTTACAATCATATTAACAATGTGAAAACTTAGTATAGGAACAGGTTATATTTTGCTGTTGTGAAGTGGCTAAGCCTACTCATTTTACTTTTTATTATCTTTTATTTTTCAGACAAACAAAAGTTGCACTAGAATTGTAATCAAGTAGAATGAGGTCAATTTTTAAAAATAATTCATTGCATACTCTATCAAAGTATGATAATAATTAGCATATATTTGAATTGAGCACATACCTGTTATAAACTGGGGCATGAAGACATTTTAGGACATGACTGAATACTGTTATCTTTATAGTCATGAGTGTCATAAATGGCAGGAGTGCAGCTGAACTATTTTAAAGATGTTTCCAACTTTTATTTATGTCCTCTCCTTGCCTGAAAAGTGGAATGAGTCAAGCCCCAGAGAAAAACTGGGTATTAATCAATTCATGGAGAAAATAACCACTTCAGTGTATTCAAAGGTCTTATGGTGTCTTTTTTTTTTCAGTTGAGATGTGTTTCATGCTCCATAAAATTCATCCCTCTCGGGATTTCTTTTTAGAATTTTGGACCAGTGACTCCTTTTTTAAAGAGTCCTTTCTAGCTGACCAAGACTTCTGTATGGGATGTACTGGTGTTGACCAGACTGTTGTTTCATGCCCATGTGAGGTAGGAAACAGCGGTTCTAGTCCTGTGTTGAAAGGCTCTGGCTACCTGTGACTCTGAATCTATGAATTTCTTATCTCTTGAGGCTGTTGACTGAGTTTTTTCAAAGAAGTTTGTGGAGATGAGCCAGTTCTAATTCTCAGCCTTGATTAAAATCCACCCCAACAAAGAGTAATGAATCTTGGCTTTCCAGCCATTCAGTCACTTGTTAACAGTGTTTAAAGCCAGATCATAAAGCACTCTACATGCTTTGCTGAGTGATGGTGTTCAGCTGCCTCTGCATGCAGGCTTAGATGATGAAATTTTCATCAGTTGGCTTGTTCAGTCTTTTTTTTCAGGTCACAGAGGTAAAAGAGGCTTTTGAAGGGTAAGCTCAACCTTCTGAATGAATGTGTGACAGCATAGAGTGGAATTCTTGAACTAAGCTGCATTTAGTTCTGAGGAGTGAAAAAGAGCAAGTACTTCTGTCATCAAGGATTCATCATTTTAGTAAGGAGATTGAGCCCTGACCTCTTCTGCATCTCCTGTAGAAATGCAAGCATAGGAGCTGGCTATCAATCCTGGATCCCAGGAGTAGCCCTCTGACTGCTAAGACCTTTCTTTTTCTTTCTCTGCAGATTTCTGCTGCATGAGCAGGTACAGTGGTAGTGGGATCTTTTAACATGGGAGAATTGTTATAGAGGAATGACTTGAGATTAAACCAGGTTGTGACAAAAATGTTTTGAGGATTTCTGGTCCTCCATCATCTTTGAAATTTGGTTAATTTTTATAATATTCTCTATAAAAAAGAGAAAACCTTCCCAACCAGTCTCTTACCTCTTATTTTTCATTTTCAAGTTAAAATGAGTGTTGGTTGGAAATTATTTCTCACTGAGTCTTAGTGACTCAATCGAGAACTGTCTGGATTATGGATAATTTGTTCCTTGTCCCAGAGCCTGGAGGTCTTTCTATTGACATTGGGTCAGTGTTATCATTGGTGTATTGATAGAAGTAATACACAGTGTTACAACATGAAATACTTGGAGTCTCTTTTACAGGAAATGAGCTGGGTAGTAGAATCTTTATGAATTTTTTTCTTTTGTTTCTTTGACAGATGATCATAGAGCCTATTTAAAATGCAATTAACTGGGCCTCCCCGGTGGCACAGCGGTTGAGCCGCTGGGCTGTTAAGCTGCCTGTAGCCTCTGCAGCACTGGTTCGATCCCCGGCCGCCGGGTGAGGGTCCCACAAGGCGTGCAGACTTCTCCTGCCGCCCACTGCTCCCCTCAGCAGTGTACTTCGGTCCTTCTGCCTGTTCTGCTCCCTGCTCTGACTCTGGTGAATTCTCTCACCCTCCTGCACTCCTGACTGTACCCAGTGCTTGTATAAATAAATAAATAAATCTTAAAAAAAATAAAAATAAAATGCAATTAACTGCCTGACACGTATAGTGGAATTCAAGTCACAAGTATTTTCACATCCCTTGTTTCACAAAGGGGTGGGGTCCTATAATAAGTTAAACTTGAAATTAAAAAAAAAAAAACTTTACTGTTTGACACTAGTAAGTCTATTTTCTTGAAATAAGGCAACACCCAAAGACACTTTGGATTTCCTAAACAAGGCATGTTTTGAAATGCATTCTGAACTTTATATAGCCTCTGTTTGTAGTACTGTTTTTCCTCTTTCCAGTTTGTTCTAGTTGAAGGTTGGAACTGTTGGGATGCTGAGTAAATCAGAACCTTTGCAGCTAGAACCAGTTTGTGTTAATTGTTCACAGAGAAAAGTCTGAATGTTATGTTTCTTGTTCCTTCTTTGTGGCACAAGGTGACCTTTGTTTTTTAAGAATTTACTCCTGTCAGTTACTGTTCTATACTTTCTCTTGGTCTCAGGTTAGCTTTTAATGCTGAATTATGCTATAGTGAATACAGAGTCATAAAACTCACAACTGCTGGGTAGTTTAGAAATGTATTGTGTTGTGAAGACACGGTTGCTTCTTAGCACTTGACTAATTATAAATTTTACCAGAGAAAAGGGAATATTGACCAGCAGGCAGGAGACTTGTTCTTCTAGGAGGAATAGTGTTTGACCTGATTATGTTATGTGTTTTTGGGTTTTAAATAAGATGCTGTGTATGAAAACTCATAATATTTTTGTGTTCTTTGCTTTGAAAACTCATAATATCGACAAGAAAAATATAAAATAATAGTACCTGATTTTTAAAGAAAAATTATTTATGCATGCATGCAAGAGCTGGGGTGTAGGCCAGAGGTGTGGGGAATGAGAGAAGTCACCAGAGACAGAGTGGGAGCAGAATAGGTGGATCTTCTGAAATACACTGCTGAGGGGAGCAGCGAGCAATACAGGAGAGGTCTGCTGCACCATGTGGCTTAGCTCCCTGACTGAGGATTGAACTCGCACTGCAGTGGCTGCCGATAGATAGCTTGATAGTGCTGAGATTTAACCCCTTGCACCACCAGGGAGGCCCAATAATATCTGATTTTTAAAAAAATTTATTTTTTAATTTTTTAATTAATTTTTTTTTAATATTTAAAGAACAGGTTTATTAGGGAAAGGGACAGGAGAGTAAAAGACACTTACATAGACACAAGCGGGCAGAAAGAGCTGCCCCAAAAGGGACAGGTTTGCTGAGAGAGGCCTGCATGGCTGCAGGCGGGCAGCCTTAGGGAGAACTGCCTACGCTGAGGGAGGTCAGTGAAGAGAAGCCCCGGCCTGATACAGGTCATGGGCAGGGAGAAGGCTGCTGCCCTGCAGAGGGAGAGAGCTGGTGAAAGGAAGCACTTGCATAGTCACAGAAAGACTGGTGGGCAGAAAGACTGCTGCCAAAAAATTTTATTTATTATATATTTTTACATCATTGTTAATTTTTGTACAGTGTTTCATTTCTCCCTTCAGGTGTTGTTCCCATAAAATTACCACCACCAAGACACTGGTGAACCGTCACCATACTCTCTGGGGCTCATCCCTCCCATTTGATCTTTTTCCCTTCCCCTCTCAGTGAATGTCTCCAATTTATAGTTTGACTGCTCGTTTTGTCTTTTTTTCCCCTGATCCCTTGTATGGTTTCCCTGTGTTCCTCCCATAAGTGAAACCATCTGATATTTTTCTTTTTCCTTCTGACTTATTTCACTGAGCATAATCCCTTACAGCTCTATCCATGTTGCTGTGAATGGCGTAAATGTATCTTTCTTGATTGCTGAGTAGTATTCCATTGTGTATATATACCACATCTTGATCCAGTCATCTGTTTTTGGGCATTTAAGTTGTTTCCATATTTTAGCTATTGTAAATGATACTGCAGTGAACATAGGCATGCAAGTGTCCTTTTGAATTAACATTTTTGTCCTTTGGGTAGATTCCTATGCTGGTTATATGGTAGCTCCATTTTTAATAATTTGAGGGTCCTCCACACAGCTTTGCATAGTGGTTGGACCAATTTGCATTCCCATCAGCAGTGTAGGAGAGTTCCTTTTTCTCCACATCCTCACCAGCATTTGTTATTTTTTTTAATGTGGGCCATTCTTAGTGGTGTGAGGTGCTGTCTCATGGTGGTTTTGATTCTCTGATTATAAGTGATGTTGAGGACTTTTT